TAAGCAATCCTGAAAAATTATTTAGGGGGTGCTTAACTTTTTTCCAGGTGTATATATATATTCACTCACGTAAGATGTTAATAAATATTCAAACATAAGCTTAGAAAGCAATACTGAAAATAATACTAGGACTATGATTACAAGTGTTTGCGACGGTAGTAAGGCATGAGATTGTTTGGTGATGGTATTAATAAGCCCAAATCCAGATATGCACGGAAAGTCAACATTTTATTCAGGAAACCAGTATGTTCATACGTCTATGCTTGAACTATATTATACCTGCTATGCAGTGTCGCCAATTCCGCTTATAATACTGAATACTTATAATCTACTGAAGTCAGCTTTGTACCAGGAGACAAGGTGTTGTTGTATAATCCCAGGAAGACCAAAGGGAAGTCTCCTAAGTTGTCTTCTTCATGGGAAGGCCCATGTGACATAGTGGATCGTTTCTCAGACGTGACTTTCCGAATCAAATGTGATCGGCGAGGTAAAGCAAAGGTGGTAATGCCAACAGGCTTTGGAGTTATCACGGTCAAGGTCATTTCAGTTGGAACAAAGTGAACAATGGAATAAATTATGCTGCTGAAGATGTGTCACATGAAAAAGTCACTGTTGAAGAAGAAACTCTACCCGGTTTTGAGAAGGAAAACAGTGAAGCTGTTAATGAAGTTACTACCACTGATGTGACTGCTACCGATAATGGGACATTTCCTGATGGAGCAGATGAACCCCACATGGAGCAGAAGCCAATGAGATAGAGACCAGTACGGAAAAAAATATCGAAGTAATTTGGCTGGTCCCCTGAAAATTCAATTGAAAATTGACAAAAATTCGGTTATAACAAAGTTTTTTTTCTATAACAAAGTATCTTTTTTACTGCTTTTCTTATAAAATTATTATTGTATTTCAGATTTAAATTGCGGAATTCCCTCCCAAGCTCTCTACTCTGACCCTCAAGAGAAAGTTTGAAGTTTTGGAAGCTGTCGAGAAGGTGGGTCCAGTGGAGAAGAAGACGAAAATTGTAGCAACTTCGTAATTCCTACCTCAACCTTGTCAACGATCCTGACGAATAAGGACACACTTCGGGACAAGTTCTTCAGTGGTGAAGCTTTCGAGTCTCAAGCGCTTCAGACGTGGTTCAGTACATACTGTGGACGAGCACCCTCCTGGATTAGCTTCGTGAAGCTCGTGCATCGAATCTTCCAGGTAAATTGATGGAAAGCTCCTCATGGCATTAGCCTCAAGGAAGTAGTAGGAAAAGATCAGCTGTGAATGTGGAAGTGGTTGACAAGTGGAAGAGAACAGCCCTGCCGAAACTCATTAAAAACTTTAAGCCTTGCGATGTATTCAACGCCGACGAAACTGGGCTGTTCTGGAGAATTCTTCCAAACAAGACACTAGATTTCAAAGGTAAGAAGTGCTAGGGAGGCAAGCTCAGCAAGGAGAGGTCACTCTCATGGTTATAGCAAATGCAGATTGTAAAGTTCCAGAAACCACATTGCTTCAAAAAATACAAAGAGCCTTCCAACTGCATATGACTTTAATAGGAAGGCTTGGATGACGATTGTGGCTTTCACTAGCTGGATTTGAAAGTTCGATGCTCTGATGGCGTGCCAAAAGAGGAAGGTGTTGCGGTGCATAGAAAATTGCAGTGCTTATCCACCAATGACAGATCTTAGAGCTGTCACTCTCAAATTTCTGCTACCCAACAGAATGCCCCACCTTCAGCGATGTGATCCCAAAATAGTAAAGAATCTAAAACACTACTACAGGAAACACCTTATTCCTAAGATGATCACCTGGTACGATGCAGGAAAGGACGTGGAAGAGTTCAAAATGTCCCTTCTTGATGCAACCACAATGGTTAAGTTTGCATGTTCCTGTGTGAGAAAAAGAGACAACAAAAACTGCTTTTGGCACTGGGGATTCATCTGGTCAAGTGATGCAGCAGAAGAAGAGGAAGACATTGATACATATGATGAAGTCACACGCTTGCAGCAGCTGAACATCATTGACTCCGAAGCGATCATTAACGTGGACGGTGATCTTGCTATCACGAGATGCCAGCAGAGCCAGAAAATGAAGTTCAGGCTAGACAGGAAGAAAATGATGATGATGATTGCAGACAGGAGTTACCAATTGTAACTACAACCGAAGCAGAACGTGCCATTGAAGTGCTCCAGACTTATGCTCTGTAGAAAGTTTGGACGACGACTTCCTCTTTAAATTTTAACAAATATTAACAATAGAACGCTCGAAAACAAAGAAGCAAACGACACTTTACACTTTTTTCCAGAAGTTGTAAACCTTTATGTAAATGAAGAGCAATATATTGAGAAATAACACAGTTATTCTTAATAAAATATTTTTGTACAATTATAATTTTTAGATTAACTTTCTTAATAAATATTTCATCCCTCTAAATCCATTCATTACCTTTTCTTTACTATAAAAACAACCTCTTTCAATTTTACTCGGCTTCGGATATATCAAAGTTTTTTACCAGGTCCCCTGAAATTCATTATATCCAGATCTGTCTATAACCTCATGTCTAGTGTTAAATGCATCACTCAAGAAGTCAAAGAACAAACTGAAATTTAGAATAGCACAGCCACAATTCAACGAGAATGTCAGGATCAGGATTTTGTGACTGCAGCTGGCAAGCCATGGACTACAAGTCAGAATAGAAAATGGTGCTTGAAACATCAAAATTGGTGTATTGAACAGTGGAAACGCATCACTTATAGTGATGAACTGTGGTACAAGTTGTCTGCATCCAATGGCCAAGTCTGGATTTGACATTAACTGTCCAAATGTCAACAGTGAAAAGCAGTGGAGAAAGCATAACAGTTTTTCACAGTATGTAGTAGGTCCTTGGTCGTAATGAAAGAAAAGGGATAATGGTTGG